GTGGTCTCTCTAAAAAATATATAGCCATGGTGATGTAAGTGCAAGTTTGGTTGGTGGGAGAGTGATTTCTATGCAATTGTAGGGAGTCTTGAGTTAAAAATGTGTCAGAGCTACATACTGTGCTGTGCCAAAATGGTATGAGATGTAGGAGTCTTGTGTCATTTTATTTACAGCAACTTAGGTTGATCCATGACTATCACTTCTTGTTGCATTTTGAATGGAACATGGAAACTATGCCCATATTCTTGTGTCTGTAATTATTGCTGTGTATTACAGAAAGCGTATCTGTCCCTTGCACCTCTAAGAGTTCAGAGAAACCAGCGACGTTACGCTGGATATTTTGGGATGACTATATGGTAATACAGGAATTTTTTTTTTTTTCATTCTAGACCCTGAAGCGACAGAGTCAGTTGGCACTCTATTTCTTTAACACTATTCTAGCTCACGGGGATCTACGAAACAACAAACTAAACCAGCTTTCAGTCAATCTCTGGAATCTTGCTCAGAAACATGGCTTTGCTGACACCAAGACTATGGTAAGGAAAACAGATAATGTAGACAAATTTTAGTTCTTAAGATCTTTTCAACTCCTCATTTGGGAAAAGGTAACATTTTCTTGATCTGAATAAACCTAATCTCTTTACAAGTTGCTCTCTTAAAAGAAAAAAAATTACATGAGTTTAAAAAAAAACAACTTATTTTTTAAATGCTTCTTAATGAGTAAGCAGCTTCTCTTATTTCAAGTAGTCTATATCTTTCTAGCACTTTTAAATGTATTTCACACATTAAGGAACCTGGAAATGCTGGATGCTGTAACTTTTTTTCAGTACAGAAAACTATCTTCAAGAGAAATACAGCATTTTTATTTAGTGAACTGCATGGTGTAAGCTTGGAAAGTGGGCATTCTAGAGCCTTTAAGAAAGATACACATGATAAAGAGCTCTGGAGTAAGAAATGCAAGTGCTCGTGTAGCCGGTGAAATTTAGGAAAAATCATGAGACTGTCTATTAAAACACCTTCACATAGATTGAGTGATGGCATATGTAATGAGAAAAGACAAAGACACTAAAAATCTGAAAATATCTTTCTTTTCATACCCAGGTGAAAACACTAGACTACATCAAGAGGCGAAGCAAACAACCTGAAATGAGTCACTTCACAGACTTGGCCCTTCGGCTTCCTCTGCAGTCCAGGACCTAATGCATGCCTCTTTTCCAAGGAGTCATCTGTGCAAGAGAGCATGTACCCGAGGCCAAAAATCACGGATCTAGATTTTGACTGGAGGAGTTCAGGGTATTTTTATTTTACTTAGTGTGACAGATTTACTTGGACACAGGTAAAACTGTTCTGAGTGCAATAATTTAACCTGAATTTCTGTTTCCAGTTTTACCACTATATTCTTATTTTAAATGCTGATTTAGATTCAGTAAAGGGTATTTTTGAACCTCTATGGTTGCAAAAGCCTTTTGAAATCTAATCTGTTGTCATTTTAGCAACAAAGGAAGAAGATAATCTGCACGGATTAATTCACAGCCTCCAAACTTCATCCCACTTGCAGAATAGTCTTTCTCCTGTGTAGAAAGCAGCATTTCAATATAATAATCCTACTAAGTCATCTTTCTGCTTTGGGATGCTGCCAACATTTGTTTGGTCAGTTCCAGTAAAAGAGGAAAATGGCCGAGGTGTTACTGTTCTAATTTGTACAATACATTTTCACAGACGTGTTTATGCTTTCATTTTAGTTCGGTGGTGTTTTGTAAAATGGAAGGAATCTTTTAAGTGCTGTCTGCAAAGGAAAATGGAAATGTATGCAAAGTACTCTATATTTGCAAAGTACACTATATCACTGAATAAAACAATTTGCAGTTCATCTGTTTGTTCTGGGGGAGTTTCTTTGCTTATACAAATTTATCACCTTACCCTTGTGGAATTTAGTTACATGTACTGCTATTACACCTAATAAATTTCACTCTTACCACTTCTGTCCCACGGCAAGGAACCATGTTGAGACCTTGCATCTATTGCTGCTTTTGCTTCGCGTAAGTATTTTAATGAGCTAAATCCTTATATGGATATTAAGATATATTTTTGCACAAAAATGTTTTATTTTGTTAAGGCTAAAGAAGTAATCAGTTTTACTAGAACCATATATTTAAGGAGTTAGAAAGCTGGTAATACCACCTAAATTATTAAACCATTCTTGTTGCATGTTTTTCATCTCCTCAGTGGTTACTGAAGCAAAATACGTATTTTGTGTTAAGGTTGTAAAGAACCGAACTAGGACCCTTTGATCCTGGTACACAGTATATATGTAAGCTGCGTAAAACTGCAGGAATACAAGACAACTATGAAGTGGTATCAACTTGATATGAACTCTCCAACTTTTAGTACATAGCTATTTTAATTATATCAACTTTCCTTAAATAATTTTGTATAAAGTGCACATAGATAATGAAATAATAGTGCTGCATATGTTATTATGTCCCACTTTAATTTAGCTTTCCTTCTTGCTGCAGCTGCACAAAACAACTCTCAGCAGCACGTAGATGATTCTTCGTGTTGGGCTTGGAAACATAAACCACGAACTGGTAAGTGGGATTAAACTCAGCTCTCTAAACCGCCAAGTGGGTCACACTAAGCAGCTGTGGTATGGCAGAAATTGCCCTCTGGGGGCAAATGTACTGCTCTAAACTCAGTGTGGAGCTGTTCCAGATTCTGTAAAATGGAAACTCTTACGACAGGCTTGCAAACGTCCCAACTGTTCCTCTTCACCATAGAGGCACCAATTTTTGCCTGTTGTCTTTTGAACACAGTATAACTTTGGTTTCTTTATTGATGCAAGATCGCCACGAGAAATGCTTTCAAATGTTTTACTACTGTTTTTATTAGTGCAAAAATAGCTCAACGACAGGCAGAAAGCTCTGGTTAGTTATCAGGAGCAAACTCTAAACATCTATCTTAAAAGCTAACATAGCCACTCTAAGAAACTGCTTTTGGCTTACTTCCATGTTAGAGCAAAATTAATTTTAGTTAAAGCACTCTACTTATTATAGACCTCCTCTTTCTTCTGTATATAGCAAATATACAGGCCAGACCAAGTTTGACTGCTTGAAAAAAGCTGACAGTTTTGTCCCCAGGTTTTTCAGGTCTTGTTTTTCAAACTATGACATTTTCATGTGCACAATATTATCAGGAGCAAGGTGCCAGGCCATCCACAAAACTATAGTCGAGCAACACACTGGTATATATTATGCAATTCTAGATGGGAAAAGAGTCCTTAACCAAAGGCAAGGCTAGGACTAATACCACCTTCAGCATCTTCATCAGTGGCAGTGCAAGACCAGTCACTAACCACCCAAGACTGGCTCTGCAGCAGAAAGCTGTACATGCTGTCCCTCTCCTCCTAAATGAAGTCGCTAGTTGACACCTTCCTACCTGTTTGTTTAACTTATTTTTTTGCCAGGCAAGTAGCTGAGGGCCTGAATTCAGCATTATTTGTCTTAAATCAGAAGAGAAAACAGAACCTCTACTATCTGAATTTAAGTAAAGCAACAGCTGAAGCCTAGAAGGGCTGGCTGAAGCCAGTTGCTGAGCTTTGAGAGCACTGGTGCAAAACAGACTCACCCTGAGCTAGGGGTGGTTTTAAATGACGCTTTATAGGAGATGGTTTCCTTAAAGACAAGTTCAGACCCTGCAGGAAGTGGTTCAGCATCTCCCTCTTCCCAGGTATGGGAATGGATTCATGGCAACCCCTTAAGCTGGAGCCTCTGCGTAATTTTCACTTCCCCTCAGGAGTTGCCCAAAATGCATTGGAACCAACTGCTCTTTTGTTAAGTATATTTTCTGCTGGAGGCAGCTGCTTTCAGGTAAACCGATCCACTGGAAAAGACTATTGTGGAAAATAAGATTGCCTTAAAAGAGCAAGAAATTTAGTAATTCAGTTGGCATGATTATCAAAAATGACAGGTAACCTAATTCTGGGGTTCCCCTGCAAGTCGGCCAATATTACACTACAGCAGGCATGGACATAAGAGATGATCACCTTGTTCTGCTTAAGAGCCAGAGCTACACTAAAACATAACAACACTGTCTCCTGTAACAAATGGCGCAGCCAGCAGTAAAATACATGACAGTTTTTCACTATCTTTTTGTAACTTCAAGCAAGACACTGACAGACTGCTTCAGGCCCTTGAATTCTGAACACAACATACACAAATGCAGTCTCATATTTTGTACTCTTATTAAAAAGCCAGTGAAAGTGCAAGTTGTCTGAAAATCCAAAGGTTAGAAATTTCATTGATTGATGTATAACGAACCCAATAAGCACATTATTAAAATTACCTTGCTTTCTATAATTTAGGAAGTCTAGATCCATATATTTGGTGCTGCTATCCAGAAAGCATTTACCTTCATTTACAGGTGACAGCTGCTGCTTGAAAATCCAATTGCCAGAGCATAGTTAAAATATAGAGGATGTTCAATGCTATTCATTATTATTATGAAGATGCTAATATTTAAGAAACTACTTTCCGAGTTAAAAGTCTCCCTTCATCAAATTTGTAGGCATACCAGTAGTGTTTCTTCAAAGTAAAACGCCATCACTTTGTACCACTCACTGAGTGTAAAAATGTGAAGATTTTACAGAACACTAAAATCCTTTTGAATTACTAGGATGTAGCTAAAAATAAGTTTGAAATCAGTATTTCAAAAAAATATACTAAGTTTCAACTTGTTGCAGGCATTGCCCACATATCTTCAATCTTTGAAGAAGGCTGTCTCTTGCCTTGTAGAAAACATTGTAAAGGTTTCAAAACTTACTGTTTAGCTGAAGTGAGGACCCAGCTCCACGTAATCTGGTGTATGCAGTTGAAAACTTGTACTAAAAGTGCCTCATAAATCAAATTTCTTAAACATTTTGTATTTTATTTCAAGTAAAAAGATGTGGAAAGTGAAAAGAAATTTGCCCGTTGAATTTTCATTCCTTTTATTACTTCAGAGCTTTAATCTTCAAATTTTATAGATTTAGATGTATATTTGTCTATGTATACTTTTTTGTTGGCAGCTGGTTGAAATCCAAGACCAATTCCTCTATGTTGCTTCAAGTCCATTGCTTTATCGAATTCCATCTTCAGAGCCTGCTGTAACTTCTCCTCCCCTTCCCTGTTCAGAGCCATGTTTGATTTGTTTGTAGTTGCTGAGAGATTTTGGATAGGTACAGAGCCCTTTTTAAAGCCACCCATCAGTCTAAAAAACTTCATTTCTTCCTCAGAGCTTTGAAAAGCAGCTGTACTCCACTGGCCAAACTTTGTACCCTGTGAAGCAAAACAAGGTTAACACTAAAATTAAATAATACCAAGACCAAGGAAGGCAATTTCTGGCTGTGTACCACAAGAACAGAACCAGCTACAAAAACCTGACAGGGATTCCACGGGTAGTACCTCTCGAAGGACGTGATAAAAGAATGACATAATCCTGCATGAGTGCATCTTTATTACCATTTCAGTTCATTTAACCTGGAGACAGGGTTTAATGTACTTTCAGAACCTCCTTTCCCTCTGTCTTTAGGAATCTTGACTTTTCTGCTCTCTGGATAATACTTGCCTAGCTCAAAAAACCAGACATTGCCCAATCATTTCTCTTATTCTAAGATAATTGTCAGACTTAGTCCTCTTTCACTTTGTCACTTCGTACAGTTATCTTTTCATTTTCCTACTGCCTAGTTAGGTAGCTGTTGTTTTCAGCAGTGGTTTTTTTATGTTAGTTTTGGAGACAGTGTTCAATCTGGCTCGCACGCTTTAAGTAGCATTTGCATTCTCATCCCACTAATTGCCACTAATATTGCAAGGGTGCAAAAACTGAGGGCATACCCTTATCTAACAGGACTAAATACACTTCTCTTCAAGCCTCCCCTCCCTCACAGTTTGCCATTCCTTAACTCTGCCTTTCACTGTATTCTTTGAACTAGTTCACTCCTTCAGGATTTTTCTTTTGTCCGCAGATACTGGCTCCTTTCTGAGAATGTAAGTAATGTCCAAGTAAAATCAGAATTCAACCGTTTGTGGATAACCCAAAATACATCGTAAGATTTACAAAGTTTATGAACTTTTGGCTTACCTAAGAACAGGCTTCATTATCTAAGGATCTTATTTGACTCTTGAGCTATAGCTAGGAGCTGTGCAGTCATTTATAACTATTTTTGGCAGGACTGCTACTCCCAATTTTTCTTGAAAATTGGGGGTGGGACTAAATGGAAGACTGTTTGATCCTTAATTAAATAGACTGAGCTGGCTACATCAAAGGAAAAAAATGTGAATTTAGTGGTTTGTTTATATAAGCCTGAAATCCTTCCAACTGAACAGTTGTAGCTTGCATAAAACAGTCATTCTCCACTAGACAGCCACCATGACACACAGCATGCTATACAATATTGCAGGCAAGCTGTAGCAGGTTTTTTAAGTTAAAAAAAATGCAAAACTGGAGTATCATTCACTGTCACAGGCCAGAATACCAGCTATTAAAAGAACGCTATCCATAATACTTCAGTATTTTTATCTTGCTCAAAGACAAGTTGCTGTACAAGCCCAGGTCTGTGACAGAGATGCATGCACACATACACATATATATATGTCCTCCCTTTGGAATGGGAGACATCTGCACAGATGCAAAAATAATTATGGCTTGTCAAACCCAGTAATTTTTTTAAAATGAATTGCTGACAGGCACTACACATAGCTTCTGCTGCAGCATTTCCAGCTCACTCTTTGTGAAGCTGATGAATTAGTTTTCATAGCTTCTATTCTTCTGCATACTACTAAACAGAGACAGATCAGCACCAAAGAACTGAGATCCCCTGCCAAGGATGTAATTTTTCTCAATGATTTCAGAGATTATTAGATGGTTGCAGATCAAGAGCTATTGCAGTCTGACTCCCACTATGTAAAAACCTATAGGAGTTGTTTCTGGCATTTGTTTGAGGTATATTCCAACTTTCTAGGCATACTGGCAGTCTTCCGAAACAACTAAGAATCCTGAATTACTAGCAAAGCTTTCTCTCCTCCTGAATCTTACTACCCCTGCTAAACACTACTGCAACAGCTTCCACTACCTTACTGTAAACCTGTCAGGAGGCAGGCTGAGTAGGATGCAAACACAAAGAAAAAAGAATCATCTTTCAAAGAAGTAGAGGAAAGATGTAGAAGTTAGGAGAGGACTGACTGTAAATATCACACACGTGTTATGAGTTATCATCCCTTTTACCTTTCCAGGTGCACACCTATTTCTGAATGTCTGCAAAGTCTTCGAGGTAACAATTTAGTGACTGCTATATCCATAGCCTAGAATTATTTGTATTTCACAGTAAGCAGAAAGTGCTGCTGTAGCAATTTGTCATGGCTCATTCTCCACAGGAACCAGAGAAAATGTTGCTTTTGAGGACTGATGATGGGAATTAGAGCTGTGTACAATGCCAACTGCTGTTGGAGTTCACGGATCAGCTCCCAGACTCTCTTTGGATTGTACTAACTTGTTCTATAGCATGACCTTAAATTTATAGTCAGAAGGAAGACTGTTATGCCAAGCCATGTACCTGAGCCACATACAAAAAAAGAGTGCAGTGCCTTTTTCAGGAACTTGCTCTGGGACACATTATTTCCATCAGATCAAGGTCTAAATTCATACATACCCATTCCACTTTGGGACTGAAAACCTTAGTTTTGCCAGATTCTCTATCGATTTCTTCTTGCAGAGCCTGTCGCCTCACCTAGCATGCAGAAAAAACAGTACAAGACACTATCTTCTGTGTGTTAAATGACAGTTAATTTAATTCACAGTGAAAAGATAAGGGAAGAACAAAATAATTAGTTATCTTCAGAATTTTGCAAGGATAATTACAAAGTTGCATGTGATCCTTTTACACACTCAACTTGAGAACTACAATTTTTGTAGGAGTATTTTAAATGAACATTTTGCTGTATCAGATATGCTTAATCTTCTAACTGCAGGTAACAGCTACATTGAAACTCCCAACATTGATGAGAGGCAAAGAAACCTGTATTTAACCTAATAAGGTACTTAGAAGCTTCTGACATTGACTGGAGCTGTACATTTTGGACTTAACCCACGGAAGGTAAAGCACATTTTAAGCAGAGCTCTATTTAGAGAAATCTTGGCATAGATGAGCAACCAAGCAGTTTTTTTGTTATAAATTCTATGCATACCTTAAATGCTAACTTGCTTTAAATCTTACACAGTTAAGACAACGCATACCTTGTCTATGTTAACTTCATCACAGTTTCCTTTTTTTTCCTGCACAATAGTTACATCATCCACATGTTCCTGTAAAACAGGAAAAAGCTTGTATGAGTATTTTTAATCCATTCTGGTTCATCAGAATTTACACAGCTCTGACCACAAAAGTAGTAAAAACACTAAGCAATACAGTAGTACTATTTTTGGGCACGAAGAAATAGTCAGATCTAAGCTGGAAAAGCCAATTAAACCTGTGCATTTCTTTGGAGAAAGAAATTTCAGGATTTATTATCCTTTTTTAGCAAAGAGGATAAGGGATTTTTTTTTAAATTCCCACATTAAAACAGACCTGCCAACATCACTGGCACATACAGTAATGTTTACAGGCAGGGTCATTTCAAATTAAACAGTTTAAGTTGAAATTTATACTTGAAATGAGGGACAGAAAGAGTGAAAGTTAACAAAAAAAAAAGACATTTAAAAAGTGGTGGTAAGATAATGGCCCCTCTGAATGCACAGGACAAGCTTGAAGCATGTTGATCCCACTAGCCACTTAAAAAAACCAAACAAACAAAAAAAAACAATCAAGAGGCAGCTGCATTGTGCTCGGTCTTGGACAAATGCAGCATAGATGATGGTCTCCAAGGAGCTTCCAGTCTGGAAAGAGCACGAGAAGAGGCGTGACACATACATAAAGTGTCTCCTACAATGGCAGCAAACAGCATGTTAGTTCCACATTTGAGAGTGAGGAACGGGGAGCTGATGTGAAGAGACAGCAGCTATGGCAGGGATGGATGTGCAGGAGGCAGGAGGTAAATCAGTGGCAGAGCCCACAAGCAGTCAGATACTGTCGGATAAATCTTCCACAAAGTGCAGCCCTTCAGCAGCTTTTGCTCCCATTGACTGGCGTTTCTAGATCATTGCCCTCAGCCTTTCTTTTCCAAATTTGTAATAAGCATAAGATTTTCGGACATCCAGTGCAACAGCATAAGTAGTAAGTCCAGGATAGTGGTAAATTACAGCCATAAGCTCTAGACCAGCCTGGAAAAGGTGGCCAAAGGGAAGATCTATTAATACAGCTAACATAATAATCCAAGCATGAAATAGCTAAGGAACACTAAGACAAGGAAAAGATTTGTAACATACTTCTGTCAGTAGAAGCTGCTGTTACTTTTTTGAGGGTTTACAGTTTTATTTAAAGCCATGAATCACTTACCCCATTTTCCAAAGCTACCTTTTATACATTGATTTCACACACACACAAGTACATGCACCATTAAAAATGCGAGAACACTGTCTGCAATAAGGAGAGCTCATTCTCTTGGATGAAAAGAAAAAAGAAAACAAAAAAAAACAATTTACTTCTAGATGGCCTGGTACTGTCTTTTCAGATCTATTAAAACAAGCAGGAAAACTGTCATGACAGGATTCTGCAAAAAGCTGCAACTTTTTTTTTTTTTTTAGCTGAAAGGTTAAGTGGCGGACAAGGAAGGAGGAAGGGTGCACCCCCATCCCTGCTAAGTCACAGCATGCCGCTAACCTGCTGAAGCCTGCTACGTGGCAAAAATTACCCCCTCTGGAGGTGTGCCAATCTTCCGCCAACTTCATGGAAGGGGAGCACATTCACAAGTGGTAGGATTATGCTATCTGCAGGCAAACAATTTCAAAGACATAAACTGAGTCCTCACTCCTTCTCACTCAGCCCCAGTTGACTGTAATGGCATCCAATGGGAAAAATATCAATCATTGATATTAAGTGTCTTTAAAAACTTACTCTTTTGCTTGCTGCACAAGTCCAACAGAGGATTTTTCAAGGCATGCAGCAGTGTGTGTGGCACTCTGAGACTAGAAAATGGTTCAGGACTATGGCACAGTTAAATGCAAGACCAATGTTATCAGCCATTTATTACAGCAGTGTCTTTTGGCCTGGCAGGAACTAGATTTCTCTAAAACTGATTTACCCAGACTTCTCAATCTTCAGGAGAATTTTTCTGAAGTACTTTTTATTATTAAAGGACAGAGCTGAATATGGGAAAGAGAAACAAAACATGCATCATCCTACACCCTTCTCAACTGTTTGCAATTTGCTGTGTTTTCCATTCTAATTGGTCATGCAAGTTTACTTGTCATTGTTAGGCTTATCTTGCCTCCACAGAATGTGAGCAGCTGCAAGAATCCAAATAATGTCTAACCGTCTCAAAAAGGCAATGTCAATTTAATTAGAAAATATATCCCAGCGATAAAACCACCTTGTCCTTTGAAAGGTCAAAAGGAGAAACCTAAGTAAACAGCCCCAAACATCTGCTCACCTAATGAATGATAAGCATACACACTCCCAACACAAACCTTTGTGGAAAAGGCTGTATCTGGGTCTCCATGAAGACTGAAGAACCTGCTTAAATAAATCTATATTTAATTATTAGCACTAGACCCTAGAAACCTGCCAGGTTTCCACAGAACATGAAGAAATGGCACGTATGAGTGCATAACAAAGCAAAGCACACCATGAAGTGTGCTTGAGAGGCAGCTAGCGCTATGGCCCGCTCTATCCCTAGTTTACAAAAAATCTTCAATGCTTAATTATTAACTAGTGCTTGACTTTTAAACAAGCCAAGCATTCAAAGTTCTTGATTAAAAACAACTGGAGTGCAGTTTTATTTTCTATGAAAATAAAAACAAGCTCCTAATGACTTGCAATGAGCTGTTTTCAGCTGTTTAAGCAGATAAAAATACAGATAGATACCTATTGAATTTCTGAGCATCTCACAGCTTAATTTCCAATAACAACAGCAGCGGTTAGGCATGTAGGTACTAACTTCAGGCACTTAAATAGCTTTAAAATATGACCCTAATCAGATAAAAAAAGAAGCAAGCTAAAAAAAAAAAAAGTTCAAGCAATAAAATCAGATCTTAATCTTTTTAACTTTTGAAAAAAAAAAAAATCAAAGAAACCTCTGTATTTCAAATCTTTCATCAGTTCCTCTCCATGTTTGTTTCACCTCAGAAATGGCAGTACTGCAAGACTCTGGGATGGGATTTCCTTTAACACTCAGTCTGGATGCAATTCCAGTTACCTTCAGTTATAATTTACACAGCTCTTGTATCTATTTATTTTCTTGCATAGATTCATTTTTTAAATTAAGACTTTGTGTTTAGGTTGTTCTCTAGTATTTTCCTATTAGAATTTATAAATCAATGCTCTCGGCCTAGTCTACACTTAGGATTCTTAGGACTTTGTCTAAAGTTTTGTCCAAGTTAGACAAGAGGTTTCGGCTAAACTTCCCCCTCATTTCTAACACTGCGCAACTCCAGCAGCAATAGCAGCAAAAGCTTGAGGAAAAGTCCAACAAACAGAGTTAGATGCACTCATGCTGCCAATGTTACCAACCTGCTCAGGTGAAATGACGTGGTATTAAAATCCTGTTTTATAGGAGTGTTGCCACGTTGCAAAGAGCGACTTAAGGAGGGATAGAAGAACATTTAAGACTGTACATACTAGTTTCCTTTTTGTGCCAAAACTTGCTGTTTACATTTTCACAATTGAAACACTATATGACTACAGCAGTAGGCATTAAAAAATACTTTCCCGTGTTTCACAAGTATTACATGCTGAAATCAACAGATCAGTTGATCCTGCTTCTCAAAACCCAGAGGAGGCCCCTATTGACCTAAATGTAACCTAAGGGTCTGAACAAGCCCAACAGCCTGCAAAATAGGAAACTGCCTACCTAAAAAGCTTCCAATTCCTTAGCAGGAGGGTGCAAAGATACCCTCTTCTTTACAACTTACCAATGCCTCATTTCCCATGTCTTCTCTTTTGATCTTTTTCTTTTTTGCATTTGCTTTTGAACCTGGTTCTTCAGCAGAGTCCTGTGGTGGTACTTTTTTTTTTTTTTCCCTTTTTCTGTCACAGAGCATATGATTACTATTGCATAATACCCTATCTACAACATCCCCTGTGACACATTCAGCTCGCTTCATTTTGCTCTCTTTGTTCTTTTTATTGCTTTCTAGTAGTGTTATTTTTTGGCTTTTAGATGCACTATCATTGTTTAAAGAAACTTTTAAATATGTTGTTTCCTCCTCCTCTTCCTGAATCTTCTTTTTCTTTTTCTTCTTGATTACTTCATTATTATCCTTGATATTCTTCCTGCATTTTTTTCCAGAAAGCTGCTCTTCCTCAATTTCTTGCTGTGCAGGGAGATGCTTATTAGGAACTCTGTGACTGTAGTCTTGATCATCTTCACACGTTAAGGAGGAAACATCTTTGCTTCTCTTCTTCTTCCTCTTGGTCTCTCTGATACTTCCAGAGTTCTCAGTAATGTCCTCTTCCGCTCTATTTGTCAATGTAATTTCCTGGAAATTCTTTCTTTGCCTTTTTCTGAAGTCACTTAATACAATGGGGCTATCAGGAACTCCATAGATGTTGTCCTGATTATCTGCTAGTGGTAAAAAGGAGTCGGACTTATCTTTCTTTTTCTTCCTCTTCTTTCTCCTCACATAACTCTCCCCATCATTCTGGATATCATCTGTTCCATGGTTTTCACCGGTAAAACCTTTTTCTTGTGAAATGTGTTTGTGTGGTTTTTTACGAACTTTTTCAGACTGTTTATGTTCACTGTCCTGGATGTCTTCTAATGCTAAAGAAAAAATGCCTTTCTTCTTTTTTTTCTTAGTTACTTCACCATCCCATTCCAAATTCAAAGCAGTATTCTTTGTGCTTTGTTTAAAAGCAAATTCATTTTCCTTAGTACCACCTGTATTATGATTTGAAAACTCCACATCACTACTCTGATTATTCTCCAATGATAAGGAGGAATGACATTGGACTTTTTTCTTCTTTTTGAGAATTTTAATTTGTTCCTCTGATTCTTCTTGACATTCTGAATCCAGATGGCCTTCTACATTCACAAAGCTTTCTGAATGTGCTTCTTTCAGTAATTCAGAGCCAACCCTCTTTTTCTTGTTTTTCTTCTTCTTCTTCTTCAGTTCTAATTGATCTAAACATTCATCTTCTTTTAAATTTTCCTTTTTCCTTATCTTTGTTTTTGTCTCAAGCTGGTCATCATTCTCAGTTTTAATGACAGTTTGAATATCTTTCTCAATTTTAATGATAGTCTGGCTCCTACTACTTTTCACCTTTTTCTTTTTCTGTACAGGTTCCTCATGAACTTCTTTTCTCTTTTTCTTTATTATCATTCTAAAAAATGAAATGAAGATATTAGCACACCACTTCCAACAAGATGATGCAAGCCCAGTCTTCCTTTATTCTGAAACCATTCCATATCTCTCATTGTCCCCGGCACTCTTTTTCCCATTTCACAATCTGCTTTCTGTGATGGGAGGGAACCAGAACCGCATGCAGCACTGAAAATATAGTCTATAGCCCTGGTGAAGGGGCAATTTTTCGTCTTGTTCTCTATTGCTGTCCTAGTTAGTTTGTAACCTTCTGTTTGTCTTTTTGACAGCTGCTGAGCATGACATTTTCACCGAAATACCTACCCTCTAAAAATCTTTCCTAAATGACAAGATATATACATATATATAAATTGGTAAGTATAGTTCAGGTGGTTTTCCATGTATGTATGACTTTTCACTTATTTAACATTGAACTTCACTGTATTGCCCACTTAGCATTACAAGATCCTTAGCCATTACCTTGAATTTGCTTCTGTTTGTGATTTCTCGTCCTTGCTGTCCGTTCCCTTTCTCGGGACATTTATGCCTATGAGCAGGTTACAGCAGAGAAGCCTTTGGGACCCATCTGGTGACACTCCCTGTCTTTGCTGAGAAACCTATTTATTCCTACGGGGTTTCCCATCTTTTAATCAATAACTAACCCACAGGATTTCTTTAAGTGCCTCTTGCAAGGCAACCTGCCAAAATCCTTTACAAAAATCTGAGTATACCACAGTATACCTATACCTGTTCCCTGCACGCTTGTCAGGGCTTTCACGTGAAGCCAGCAGACGCGTGTGACCGCCGC